GGGGGGGGGGGGGGGGGGGGGGGTGGGGCAGTAAAGATTTGTGTGTGACGTCACATAATTTCATTTTATCATACATATAACACGGGAAATTGACAGTAACGTTGACATTTCTGGTGTTATAGATGTTTTCTTACAGAAGATGTCACTTAGGACTTGTATAAATGAATAGTTTAATAATGAAGTGTGTTTTTAGATTAAACTCTAATCCGTTTTTTATTATTTTTTTTAAAACTTTTTAGTTCAAAAATGTGACATGCTTTAAAAGAAAAAAAAATAATTGGGGAGGTGGGTCTTTGAGATTTTTGACAGATTGCGAAAGAGGGAGGGATGGGGTAAAGCTTGTCAAAAAATAGAATGTCGTATTTTATGACGTATACATTTTCTTGGTACAAAGGTCCGCCCCTTTATAATATCAAGTTGTCAATTAATGAATTATACATTTACCATGGATACAAAAAAAGTTTCAAATGGGATCAGGGTAACAAGGGGAGAGCCGCTCTAAAATAAAGTGCAGTTGCAGTTTCTATCGCAATGGATTCAAGCAAATTACATACCATTTAGTTTCCAACCAGCAGTTACCAAAACAGGAAGTAAAATTTATACAGAATCTAGGGTAATTTCCAGAAATGTGTTCTCAAGGAAATCAACAGTGTGTGCTGTGTCCGTTCAACTCTAGCCAACGTATACTTTTGTTTACAATATGGTGTGTGGTAACAAGGAGTTAAGTGTTCTGCAAATGGTAAGTGAATTGCGTCTCTAAGACTTACATATTGTTCCATCTGAAATGTAAGAGTCTTAAGTTATGATCGTCTGCTACGATGGTGTGTGAGGATTTTGTATATAATATAAGCAGAAACTTTTAGTAAACTTTTTCACCTATAATTTGAGTGCATATATATAAGTTGTGAGCTATTCTGATTGCTTTCTTGTTGATAGTGTTCTGATTTATTAGTGCATGTATATAGTAAGCACATGAAATAGTGAGCACATATAGTAATTAACATACTATTAGGAAACACTTCGTTAGAACAAATGGTATCATATTGAACTAATCCGTGAGCATGCATAAGATAGTAGTGAAGACATTATCAATACAACATGTAGTAGTGAAGACATTATCAATAAAACATGTAGTAGTGAAGACATTATCAATACAACATGTAGTGGTGAAGACATTATCAATACAACATGTAGTAGTGAAGACATTATCAATACAACATGTAGTAGTGAAGACATTATCAATACAACAAGTAGTAGTGAAGACATTATAAATACAACATGTAGTAGTGAAGACATTTATCAATACAACATGTAGTAGTGAAGACATTATCAATACAACATGTAGTGGTGAAGACATTATCAATACAACATGTAGTAGTGAAGACATTATCAATACAACATGTAGTAGGGAACACATTATCAATACAACATGCAGTAGGGAACACATTATAATATATTAGGGGACATATATAAGTGGACACATATCAATGAACACATGCATTAGTGGCCATGCATATAAATGCCTCTGTCAGGCAAGTGTACTCCCATGTGGCCTTGAAATGTGGACCACATCCGCCAATCACGAGTGGAAACTCAACAGCTTCCACCTAAGATGTCTGCGGGACATACTGCGCATTCGATAGCAGGACAAAGTGCCTGGGGGTGGTATGGAAACTGCCTATCACAAGGGTTCTGTGACGTGCCAAACACAGGGGTTCTGTGACGTGCCAAACACAGGGGTTCTGTGACGTGCCAAACACAGGGGTTCTGTGACGTTCCAAACACAGGGGTTCTGAAACATCCCAAACATAAGGGTTCTAAAACGTGCTAAATACAGTGGTTCTAGAATGTCCGACGATGTGCACCATGTTCTCTATTCTTAGTAAGAGACGCCTTCGCTGGTTTAGATAAAGAGAATGGTGAAGGGCCGTATTCTGAAAGTTGCGCTGTACGGTGAATACAGTGCCGAATATAGCAGGTTTTGTGCTATATATTTAATATAGGCAATAATTTTAAAAACAACAACTGCATGCGTCTGAGTGATCTAAAAGGTAATTAATATACGTATTTTAGTTATTTAATTTACAAAACAACCTAACCACAACTCCCTAAATTTAAAAGTCTGAAAAATAGTTAGGAGTTTTATAGTTGATTTCAAGATAAATGTGGATTTCTGAGGGTTGCAGAATATTTAAAACACGTATGTTCGGGAAACAAAAATTTTTTGTCCTGCACTGTCAAATGTTATCAAAGTGTTAAGAGTCACCTATCGTGAAGTTAAGAGTCACCTATCGTGAAGTTAAGAGTCACCTATCGTGAACAGTTTATTTGAAGAAAAATATTATTTTCTTGGTTTCGCTGTAATAAAAAAAAAAAAAAATCCAAAACAATTTCAGACATGACCATCGCCTCTGTAACTGTAATTGTACTTTTTACGGATACTTTAGCTAAGCCAATCAAATGATCTCGAGGCGTGGTAGAAGGAATTAGGTTTTTATGAGATTGAGCTTGGAAAAGTTTCTCTCAGCACTGGCCACAGTTATTGGTAGTGTTGAAAAAACTGACATTGCCACACACAGCGTGAATATACAGTAGTGTGAATAGTTTATACCCACCGTGACACACACAGCCTGTATTACAGTTAATGTATACGGGCCCACAGTGCGGTATGGTTGGTAGACATCTATATTCAGTAGGCAGGAGACATCTAAATTCAGTAGGTATGAGACATCTATATTCAGGAGGTATGAGACATCTATATTCGGGAGGTAGGAGACATCTAAATTCAGTAGGTATGAGACATCTATATTCAGTACGTAGGAGACATTTATATTCAGTACGTAGGAGACATCTATATTCAGTAGGTAGACACATCTATATTCAGTAGGTAGGAGACATCTATATTCAGTAGGTAGGAGACATCTATATTCAGTAAGTAGGAGACATCTATATTCAGTAGGTAGGAGACATCTATATTCAGTTGGTAGGAGAGATCTATATTCAGTAGGTAGGAGACATCTCTATTCAGTAGGTAGGAGACATCTATATTCAGTACGTAGGAGACATCTATGTTCAGTACGTAGTAGACATCTATATTCAGTAGTTATGAGACATCTATATTCAGTAGGTATGAGACATCTATATTCAGTAGGTAGGAGACATCTAAATTCAGTAGGTATGAGACATCTATATTCAGTAGTTATGAGACATCTAAATTCAGTAGGTATGAGACATCTATTTTCAGTAGGTAGGAGACATCTATATTCAGTAAGTAGGAGACATCTATATTCAGTAGGTAGGAGACATCTATATTCAGTTGGTAGGAGAGATCTATATTCAGTAGGTAGGAGACATCTCTATTCAGTAGGTAGGAGACATCTATATTCAGTAGGTAGGAGACATCTATATTCAGTACGTAGGAGACATCTATATTCAGTAGGTAGACACATCTATATTCAGTAGGTAGGAGACATCTATATTCAGTAGTTAGGAGATATCTGTATTCAGTAGGTAGGAGAGATCTATATCCAGTAGGTAGGAGACATCTATATTCAGTAGGTAAACTTTTTAAAATAAGGTGGGTGGGGGCAGTGGTGTGTTATTAGATAGCATTTCTGGATGACCTTTTGAGGTAGAGAATCGTATATAACATAGAGCTTTTCGTGACATAGACAATAGAGTTAGGACGGTCAGCTCGATATGTGAGACGTAGTGGTAGTAGTCATAGTCAAAGTTAGACCTATTTCAAAGCGCTAGGTGGCGATAGGACATTGCACAGTTTTAAAATATATACTCAATAAATTCAGGTTTCGAATAGTATAGCTTTATTTGGTTCTATAAACAATGCCAAGGTAAAATCTAAAGAAAATATCTTAAGAAAAAGTAAGTAGGACAAAGGACAATATCTGAAAAGACACAAATAGTACAGGTTAATAATGTCCTGACTAACATGAATTAAACAGCTAGCAATAAACATGTTAAATAACTAAGAAATTACAGATTATTACTAGACTCTATAGGTACACCTAATGATGCAAGTGTGATACAAATGACAATTAAAATGCTATTATTGTCAAAAATATCCAATTATAAATTAAATCACGTGACGAGGTCTAGCTCGTGGGACGTACACCGTCTTACACACAGAAACAGTGTGAGTTATGAGAGCTGGCATACAGGTGTAGGAAGTATTATATACTGTCACCCAGTCGCGTAGCTAGGGTTGGTGTCACCCGGTGCGGTAAACTCATGGTGTCACCCAGTCGCGTAGCTAGGGTTGGTGTCACCCGGTGCGGTAAACTAACTCATGGTTTCACCCCCCCCCCCCCTAAACTTCTATGATCGATTTTTTTTTTTTTAAATAAGTCCACAGTATAGCATCAACCTTGAACTTTTAATAAAGCACGCATTTGGATTGGTTACATTTGTGAAAAATATATGTGTTATCGGTTATTCTTTTATGAATCTCGATTTTTGCGAGCAATGTGTGCCCTGTAGATATGCAATTTTTCAATCGGGTGTCACCCCTAAAATGGTGTCACCCGGTGCGGTCCGCACCTGCCTCGCTACGCCACTGCTGTCGCCCAGTTATGGTGTCTATGTAAGATACACCAATAGCAGAAGAGTTACTGCAATGGTATGAAGCAAGACTGCACAACTCAAAATGTAAGGTAGGCCGTAATACGTTATGAAAAACTTGTGCGGGCCAAACGAGAATAGGACGGGTGGGGGGAAGGGGGGAAGCTGTCAAGAATATAATAAGAATAAAGAATATTTCGTTACTTAGCTGGCCACAAAATGGATACTGGCGGGCCGCATTGCGGCCCGCGGGCCGTATGTTATGCAGGCCTGATATAAAGTATAACCATCGATATTTTGATACGTGTAGTATCAAGGAATTGATGTGTCTTTTTAAGACAAAAGCGAATTGCAGAATGTCTAATTAGGTTACTACAGCTGGTAATATTATCCCAACACATGCACCATTTCCTATGTGAGAATTTAGCACATGGCAGAAGAGTTAGCCTACTACACACATTTCACGTATATTCGCTGGTTGTATACTGTTGTATCAATAGCTTATAAGCACATTGCAGTATGTGTAACCAGAGCCATACAACGGTTGGTGTTATGCTCAAGAACACACTGGTATCTAATGCTATTTAAGACTTCATTGGACCGTTGTATGTTCAACCTACAAAATATCATTTGTAATTCAACGGCTGTAGGTTAATCCTACAATATTTCATGGTTATATGTCAGTTGGACGGCTGTAGGTTAACCCTTCAAAGTATCATGGCTATAAGTCTGAACAGAAAACTTCTATTATTAACACTTAACAATAAATAATTGCATTCTACCAACACAGAAATATAAAGGGGTATTAGCATGTACCGTATTTTCCGGCGTATAAGACGACCCCCGACTTGTTCTGTTAAAATATAGGGTTTGGGCTGTATACCAGATTATAATACGACCCCAGGCGTATAAGACGACCCCCTACTTGTTCTGTTAAAATATAGGGTTTGGGCTGTATACCAGATTATAATACGACCCAAGGCGTATAAGACGACCCCCGACTTGTTCTGTTAAAATATAGGGTTTGGGCTGTATACCAGATTATAATACGACCCCAGGCGTATAAGACGACCCCCGAATTTTGAAAATATTGTTAAAATGTAGTGTTATATGCCGGAACAGATGCTACTTAGAAAACAGCCAGAATGGTGCCCGTGAATCATGCAACACCTTGAAGATGCGATTAAAATTTTGAATGCCAAAAACTCTAAGTGCGCCCATTATACATAGGGCCATGCGGATAAACGAGAGAGCGATCTACGCCATATAAGGACCAAGACGGTATACTACTTACCTCCTGGCAGATTTCCTGTGGTAAATTGACAATTACCTGCGACTTCAAACTGATTAAAAGTTTAAATAGATTTCGGAGGACCAGAGTGCAGCGAGCATCCTAAAAGGGTATGGATACCGGGCGCGATATAAATATCAAATCAATCAATGAAAAAAGTTAAAATCCCGAACCAACCCCCTATATGCACATGTACGCGCCCTGTCTCGGCTATCCATGATCCACTTTAAAATGTGTAAAAGTTAAATAGTTAATTTGATATTCTAAAAAGAAAGGGATAACTTTAAAACACCCTTTAATACTAACTATTTAAATACCCTCTAACAAATGTGGACTTGCAAATATACGATTGTAAAGTTAATAAAATCCCCTTTGCCGACAAGATATAATTTATGAAATAATACCCAAGGGTTCACGGGGAATACATGATTCAACTTGACCCAAAAGCACACATTGGGGTTTCCTCTATTTAAGTTTCATACTCGATGGAGGTAACAAGTTTTATGCCCTGTATTCTGTAGCACATAGCCCCGAGGTCAAAGTCCACGACAGTCTCGTAAAGGTGCGGCCTGCCGTGCCACATACAGACAGTAGAGTTAGACGGTCAGTTCGAAGTGTCAGACATAGTGGTAGTAGTCGTAGTCAAAGATGAACCTATAGACAGTAGAGTTAGACGGTCATTTCGAAGTGTCAGACATAGTGGTAGTAGTCGTAGTCAAAGATGGACCTATATACATTAGAGTTACGATGGTCAGTCCGAAGTGTCAGGCGTAAAGGTAGCAGTCGTAGTCAAAGATAGACCTATAGACAACCAAGTGCTAGAGCTAGAAATGAGTTGCCTTCTAAGTTAAACGAGTATCATCCACCCAGAGTGCTGGGGTTGTTTTTGCTTGTCTAAGCTTTTTCTGGGGATTAAGCTCCAGCAAAAAAAAAAAAATCATAAGACGTATTATAAGCTGGTATACAGCCCAAACCCTATATTTTGGCTTGTGGTAAGTTTAGATCGCTCGACCACTCAGAGAATGCAAACCCTGAAATCAAACCTGGACGGCTAGTCCCGTAGGCGGTATGACATTAACACAATGAAAATTCCGACAGCTCCGCGACGTGGAAAGAGCACAGTGAGACACAAGACACACTGGTGATCATCTTAGACTGCATCCTGGTCTATGTCCAGTCGTCTTGACTAAGTCTTGTCATTAGCACCCTGGTCTATTTCCAGTCGTCTTGACCAAGTCTTGCCATTAGCATCCTGGTCTATGTCCAGTCGTCTTGACCAAGTCTTGCCATTAGCATCCTGGTCTATTACCAGTCGTCTTGACCAAGTCTTGCCATTAGCATCCTGGTCTATTTCCAGTCGTCTTGACCAAGTCTTGCCATTAGCATCCTGGTCTATTTCCAGTCGTCTTCACCAAGTCTTGCCATTAGCATCCTGGTCTATTTCCAGTCGTCTTGACTAAGTCTTGCCATTAGCATCCTGGTCTATTTCCATTCTTCTTGACTAAGTCTTGCCATTAGCATCCTGGTCTATTACCAGTCGTCGTGACCAAGTCTTGCCATTAGCATCCTGGTCTATTCCCAGTCGTTTTGACTAAGTTTTGCCATTAGCATCCTGGTCTATTTCCAGTCGTCTTGACTAAGTCTTGCCATTGGAATAAATAGACAAGGGAGAGAGAGAGTAAGGCTAAAACAACTGAGCAAATCTCCCTCACTTTAAAACAAGTACAGGTTAAGTTAAGGGTACTACTCAAGTCGGAGCCTTGGTCATCTTCACTTGTGAAAGACGAACGATAAGAGTTAGAAAAGAGCCATTACTCAATTTTGTTGCACTATATTCACCAATCCATCTTTTCTTTGTAATTATTGCTTAGGGGTAGTTTCATGACTTATTAGTGGCCTGTGTAAGCTTCGTTTTTATCTTTAACGTCGCGACTAGTGAACCATGACAGAGAAGAGCGGCCATATATTAATCACACACAGTAACACCGAAACCAAGTAATATTCTTTTTTATTATTATTTCCTTAATTGCTTTCTCTCCTGTCCTTTTGCCTTTCGGCCCGCAAAAGTTTTTTGATAAAGTCGTACGGCCTTACATTTTGAGTTGTGCAGGCCTGGCTTACAGTGTTCATGCAAAAAGTGGGGTACCTTTTTACTGGAAAACCCCAATTATTTTTTCATATTAAAAATAAACCAAAGAAAAAAAAACACCAGAAAAAAAAAAAAAAAAAAAAAAAAACGGCCTTACATTTTGAGTTGTGCAGGCCTGGCTTACAGTGTTCATGCAAAAAGTGGGGTACCTTTTTACTGGAAAACCCCAATTATTTTTTCATATTAAAAAAAAACCAAAAAAAAAAAAACACCAGAAAAAAAAAACAAAAAAAAAAAACTCCCTACCTAGAAGGTAGTTTTTTTTTAAAGGCCTGTTGTATTGCCGTAGTCTAAGGCTTAAAAACCTGGCTACTACGGCTACTACGGCGAAAGCGTAAGGATAAACAGGTCTAAAATTTCATCGCTACTCCAAAATTGTTGGGAGCCTGCAGGGCGAGTTTTCAAATAAAACAGTTTGAGATTGATTCCGTGAAAATACTGAAGCCCTACTATTTATGATGCACGCCTTGAAAATGATTCATTGCCAGAAATATTTAGGCCACGCTTTAGCGCAGTGGTGCATACTGTTTTCCTACTCCCGAAACTGCGTCGCTGTGTTGCCCTACACCTGGAGACACGTGCAAAGACTAGTGTTGCAATAGGCCACGCTTTAGCGCAGTGGTGCATACTGTTTTCCTACTCCCGAAACTGCGTCGCTGTGTTGCCCTACACCTGGAGACATGTGCAAAGACTAGTGTTGCAAGATGGTATCACGCAGGAGGACATGATCTCCTTTTTTTTCAATTAAAATATCATTTCTTTCATCGACCATAACATGATAAACTTTCAGTAAACCAAGGAGCAGAAAAGACTTGACGCGGAGTCAGTAAAGGTGGCAATACTCGAATGGGGCATGCTCGAATTTTTAGATAACTCTTAAATTGTGTTCAATGATTTTGCAAACTCGTTTCATTTTTTTAAAAAAAATCCTTTATATTAACTTCGCTTTTGTTCGTGGGTGGCTGGCGAAATTTCCGGACGGCCAATTGACCCACCTCCCGTGAAACGATCGAGCTGAAACTCGGCACATAGACTTGTTGCCGATGAAACACATTCTTTCGAATTTTCAGCCTCAACCCCTCAAAGCAGTTTTCCCTGTTTTTTGAAGGGGAAGATGAAGAAAATATGATGACACTGATTTCAAGAAATAACATTACCGATAACTGCACTGAATGAGATTCTTAAAAAAAATCGTGAGTACATTTGCTGCTCAATAATTTGTTTTTTTCTGAAATAGTTGGTGAAATAAATTGGCGGTAAAAGCGGATGGGTCATTAGAATATTAATATAGTTCTAGGGCTTGAAAAAATATGGGGTTGAGACCTTTGTGACCCGGGGGGGGGGGGAGGAGACAAACGGGTTTTTTGTAAAGTGGGTTACTTGTGTCCATGTTTTGAAAAATTTTCAGTTCCATCTCCATTGCCCGATTTTTGTTTTTTAAAGGATCTATTAGAAAAAAAAAATATGGGGTTGAGGCCTTTGGGACCCGGGGGGGGGGGGAGGAGACAAACGGGATTCTTGTAAAGTGCGTTACTTGTGTCCATGTTTTGTAAAATTTTCAGCTCCATCTCCATTGCCCGATATATGTTTTATAAAGGATTTATTAGAAAAATTATGTTTTTACCCATTTCCCGTCAACCTATTATGCTGAAAATTGGCACATAGACTCGTTGCTGATGTCAACACATTGTTTCTCATTTTTAGCCCCACCCACAACCCCAGCCCACAAAGATAATGTTTTCCTGTTTTTCAAGCGGGGGATGATGGAAATATGATGGCACTGATTTCACGATATAAAATTCCCGATAACTGCGCTAAATTAGATTCTTAGAAGAAAAAAAAAATAGCGTGCAGCGCGTAATATTTTCTTTTGTTGTTCTGAAACAGTTGGTGAAGTAAATTTGCGGTGTAAGAGCGGGTGCGACATTAGAATATTAATATAAAATAAAATAATAAAATATGCATACAATTGATTTATGCGAAAAAAAGGTATGAAAAACCAATCTGTTATAAGTATTCTGTCATGTGACATCAATTGTAAACAACGCTAGCTTAGAGGATTCGCAAATATTTGTATCTAAAGCCATTTGGCGAACTGGTCGAGTTTGGGATTTGACCGTAGCATAATAATATAGAGATTAGTTGTACACAAACGAAACATTTACGAGAATGTAGGAGTTGTGTTCGGTTATGAAAAAAAAACAACCCAACAACTAAATGTTATATTAAAATGTCTATAACAAAATGTGATGTTTTAATTTTGTTGACAGACAGGAACACACTTGTAATAATTTATAATTTAAACAATTATAAAATTGTACGCCTGCAATATCACTAACCACATTCTGATTTCGTCTGTTTTAGCTTTAAGAAAAGAAATCCTTCACCAAAATGAAACTTTGGATTCTAGTCTTTGCTGCTTCTCTTCTGACCTGGACATGGGCGCTTGTCCTAAATGAGAGCGACGGCCTACAGAATGACCTCGACTGTTGTGAGGAAATTCGTCACAAAATAAGTACCAGCCATATTCGTATTGATGTATTGGATAAAAATAAGAGAAATGCTAAAATGAACTTCAACTTGGAAGCATCCAACAATAGTTGTTGTAGATTGTGCTGTAATGGACAAATTGCTGATTGTAGTCAATGTAATCTTACAGAAGTCCCCCAAGATTTACCTGAAAACATTGCGCACCTTCTTCTACCTTATAATAAGATCAGTAGCAGCGCCCTCTACCCTGGAGTGTTTGCCAAATATTCCAAACTCCTCGTCCTTCAGATGGATTCCAATAATCTCACAGTTCTACCCAATAGGGTTTTTGATAATCTGAGTTCTTTGATTCAACTCAACCTCTACAACAACAGCATTAGAATGGACAGTCAACTACGCAATTCCTTTGTGTTTTTGCCATTGCGAAATACTTTGAAGTATCTTGTAATGAACAGGAACACTCCCGACACGTCATCAGACCAGTTGATGTACCCAGACTTGGCCCTGTCTGTTCTGACCAAACTGACCGTACTGAACATTGATGGACTCAATGGAAAACCATTTGGAAGTGGGTTTTCGACACTGAGGAACTTGAGAAATTTAACGATATCAGGATTTCAAGACGGTAACTGCAATATCGTCTCAATAAACAATGACACATTTCGATTCTTGACAAGTCTACATCATCTGAATATTTCTGATTGCGGTCTGATTGGTGGCCAGATTTCTAAGTCAGCCTTTGAATACTTAACGGAGTTAAAGTCTCTGGATGTCTCCAATAATTTTGATTTGGGACTCGAGGCTGTCGGTAGATTGATGTTCAGTTTTAGAAACAGTTCGAATCTGATTTACCTGAAACTCCAGAGAGTTGTGAACCGATTTGCGTCATGTATCATTGTCTACAAACACACACTGCGACATTTCAAGAACACTAGTCTGGAGGTGATTGAAGCCATGGACAATGAGATTGAGATGATTCAGTATGGTGCCATTCAAATGTTGCCCACGACACTAAGAACACTCAACCTCACCAACAACAGAATCATGTTCGGGGCCTACTGGAAGGACATGGGGTACCTGACACGACTTCAAAGCTTACACCTGGACGGCTTTCGTCGTCCTTACAAATTTCCACAGTTTTTCCCGTCGGGGGATCTCAACTGTAAAAGAGAAAATATTGATGATATTGATGAGAATGGCATTGACCAGAAGTCTTCTCAAGGTCAAGGCTCTGTATGCCTAAAAGGCCACTGCCGGCAGAACGAGCCGTTCATTCTCCAGCTGCCGCCCAGTTTGACCAACTTCACCATGCACAGCAACTCACTGGCGTACACGGTCAACAACATCAGCTTCAGTGAGAACAACACGCTGGAACACGCCGACGTCAGCGGGAACACGTTCCCCACTCTGATTGGACCCATCACCGGGCTGAATCACCTCAAGTCCCTGGACATGTCCATCTGTTTCATCGATTACATCACAGCGTCGTTTTTTAACAACCTGACCCACTTGCAGCACCTGAACCTGTACCAAAACCTGCTGGCCGAATGCCTCAACCTGGACTGTGAGATTACCGTTTTTCATAAACTCTCCAACCTGACCTATTTAAACATTTCCTTCAACTATCTGTACAGGTTGAACAGAGATGTTTTCATCACCATGACGAAACTGGAGTTCTTAGACCTGTCCGTCAATACGTTGAGCCACGCCAACTTCAGCATCACCCACATGGAAAATCTCAAACTCTTGGACCTTCATAAAAACGATATCGCCTCTCTTCCCCCGCAGGTCACCAGACACATCACGGGGCTGATGGCTGCCAACAAGACAATCAGAGTCGACATGCGGCAAAACCCGATCTCGTGTGACTGCGAGAATCTCGAATTTCTCCAGTGGGTCGTGGAGACCGGCGTCTTTGGAGACAACTACACACACTATTATTGTAAATATCCGGTGGCAGACCAGGCGGCCACGGAGATGGTGAATGGATATGAGGACGTGGTCAGGGAACTCCAACGGAGGTGCACCACGCACGTGGGGCTATTTGTGGGGGTCATAGGATCTACTTTTCTAATGGTGATCATCCTGGCCGTACTGGTTATTTACAGATTCAGGTAAGCGTTACCTTGTCAAGTTGCATTACGTGAATTGTTTGGTCTAGTTACATTATGTGAATCGGTTGGTCAAGTTACATTACGTGAATCGGTTGGTCTATTTACATTACGTGAATTGTTTGGTATGGTTACATTACGTGAATTGTTTGGTCTAGTGACATTACGTAAATGGTTTGGTATAGTTACATTACGTGAATCGGTTGGTCTATTTACATTACGTGAATTGTTTGGTATGGTTACATTACGTGAATTGTTTGGTCTAGTGACATTACGTAAATGGTTTGGTATAGTTACATTACGTGAATCGGTTGGTCAAATTACATTACTTTTATTGGGGTCAAGTTACATTACGTGAATTTTTTGATCAATTTGCATTACGTGAATTGTTTGATCAAGTTACATTACGTGAATTGTTTGATCAAGTTAAATTACGTGAATCGGTTGGTCCAGTAATCATCACATTAGCCTACATAATTTTGTTGGTATAGTATGCGACAAATGTAATAGTACTTAAACTTCTGTCAAATGCTCCTAGCCCCAGCCCACACGTGTCATGAAAATGAAGATTTAGTGTTGCAAATCGGTCGCTTGACTGAGTAAAACAGTATTCGTAGCTCACCGATAATTTTGATTCTCAGCAAGTGATTATGATTGGTGGAGGGGGCTTGTTTGAAAAATTCTGCCGGACCAATGCAATGAATGATTGAATAAAACAGTACCACGTAACACTGTTATGCTGTCTTTTAATACCACATTTTGCTGTTATGTAAGTTTAGTGTATCAATGGGAGAGGTCGTCTAGTCGCCCACTAAGTATCTCGATAGTGAGATTCACTCCCGTGTTCACCAGAAGGTGTTCACCACTTCGAAGTATGCGAGAAAATTCTTACAAATTGAATATCAGTCACGCGTCCCTACACCGATTGTTTAAGGTCATAGGTTTTTTTGTACAACAATTAGTTAGGACAACGCTTGACTGAGCCAGGTATTCGGGCCAAATATGCGGGCCAGGTATGCGGGTCAGATATGTGGGCAAGATATGTGGGCCAGATGAAATCCACAAATGTATTTGTGCTACTAAAGAAAATATGGGAGTCATAGGAGCTGAAGCTGCAAACCAAAGTCAGAATCTTTAATACAAATTATTTCAAAACAGTCCTACTATATGGTGCAGAAACTTAGAAAACAACAGTGAGCCTTATGAAGAAAGCGCAGACATTCATAAAGACATGCCTTAGAAAGATCCTGAAAATCAAATGGCCAGATACTATCACCAAAAAAGATCCACTAGAAAGGACATACCAGGTGCCCATTGATGAAAATATCATAAAGAAAAGATGGAGGCGGATAGGGCATACGCTCCGAAAACCGCGTGCTAGCACCATCAGACAATGCCTAACATGAAACCCACAAGGGACAAAAGAAAAAGAGGAAGGCCTGAGAATACATGGAGACACGAGTTAGAGGCAGACACGCAAAATACAGCTGGAAGCAGTAGGAAAGGAAAGCACAGGATCGTGAGGAGTGGACAATTCTTGTGGACGGCCTATGCCCCAAACAAGCACAGGACCATGAGGAGTGGACAATTCTTGTGGACGGCCTATGCCCCAAACAAGCACAGGATCGTGAGGAGTGGACAATTCTTGTGGACGGCCTATGCCCCAGACGGGGTTAAAAGACATAAGTAAGCGTGGGCCAGATATGTGAGGCAGGATGATCGAATGGGGAAATCGAGATTGGGTACAAGGGTCGATATTTTTCATAGACATTAGTGTCTCTGTGACAATAGGGAATAGGCACTTACAATCGATTAAACTTCCATTTCCGTTTTCAAGGGTTCCGCACAGAACCATTTAACGCATCGCCGTCATTTTAAAAATTTCTCTCGCAATTGTTCTTCAAACTATATTTTCAAATGCGGTCACCATTTTCCTTCACTAAAGTATGAGCGAAAATATTCTCGACTCTTGATACTTATTCATAAGTGGAGAGACCCATTTCCAACAATAACAACTGCCCAACATCTTATCTGTTTCTCTCTGATTGTCTTGTGACGGCTAGTGCTATGCACTATTGTTCAAAATCAAGAATGCGTTCAAGATGTTTGGAGTGTCAGTACGGCTAGTTTTTGGACAAGCTGTATTATTGCAAAATTGATAGATTAGAATGTGATGCTCGTTCAATGAAAAAAAAATCAAATATATTGACCATTCATTATGTCTTTCATAAGCAAATATATTTTTAAAAAAATAATTAAAAAACAACAACAAACAGTGGCGTAGGAGAGGGGGGGGGGGTGAAGCGGGCTGTCAGCCCACGGTGGCACCTTTTTTTTTTACAATTTATATAGAGGGCCGAATTTTCGGCCAAATGCTTTGTTTTGTTCGTTAAAGAATGCTGAAAAATTCGTGTCCCGCCCCGGGTGGCAGCAATCCTAGCTGCGCCACTTAAACACCGTCATTTCATTCAACACAGTCTCTAATTGATTGAGTATTAAAGAAGCTCTGTTAGAAGGTCTCTAATTGATTGAACATTATAGAAGCTCTGTTAAGAACGTCTTTAATTGATTGAGTATTCTAGAAGCTCTGTTAAGAAGGTCTCTAATTGACTGAGTATTATAGAAGCTCTTTTAAGAACATCTCTAATTGATTGAGTATTCTAGAATGTCTGTTAATAACTTCTCTAACTGATTGAGTATTCTAGAAGCTCTGTTAAGAAGGTCTCTAATTGATTTGAGTATTCTAGAAGCTCTGTTAAGAAGGTCTCTAATTGATTTGAGTATTCTAGAAGCTCTGTTAAGAAGGTCTCTAATTGATTTGAGTATTCTAGAAGCTCTGTTAAGAAGGTCTCTAATTGATTATTATAGCAGCTCTGTTAAGAAGGTCTCTAATTGATTTGAGTATTCTAGAAGCTCTGTTAAGAAGGTCTCTAATTGATTTGAGTATTCTAGAAGCTCTGTTAAGAAGGTCTCTAATTGATTATTATAGCAGCTCTGTTAAGAACCATGACCATTTTGAATGTTGACTGATTCTTATTCAAGTTTTCTGCTGAAGGTCACCTATCATGTTTTTTTTCAGATGGACATTACGCTACTGGTACCACGCTGCAAAGTTAAAATTCTACGCGAATCTTCGCACTGTTGAGACAGACTTCAAGTATGACGTGTTCATCAGCTACGAGAACAAAGACATTGACTTTGTCCTCAAGGTTGGTTTCATGTCTAGACTGTTTCAAGGTCACATCAACGGCATGGAAATTTCAATTTTTGTTTCGTGTTTGAAAGTGTTTTGAACTTTAAAAAATTCGTTATTAAATTCATTAGTTTTTCTTTGGTGCATAATAGTTTCTCACTTCACCATAATCACCCAGTTCACCAAAACGTCTTTTCACCATTCATCTCACCTATTCATATTCTCAATTCACATTACTCACACCTCACCATATTCTCGCACTTCACCATATTCTCGCACTTAAACATATTCTCGCACTTCACCATATTCTCTCACTTCACTAAACTTTCATATCACTAGGTTATCTGACTTGCTATACTTCACCATACTTTCATTATATCATATTCTCACTTCAACGCACTCTCACATCCCCATATTCTCTCACTTACTCCACTTCCTTATGCTCTCAATGCAACTTAATTTACTTCACCATACACTCTCACTTACTCCACTTCACCATACTTTCAGTTCATTTCTTGCTTTATTTACCATTTACCAAATAGTTTACACTTTTGGTTCTAGGAACTGTGTCCAAAGTTGAGAAACGAACGACAGATCAGTCTGCTGATCCACGGGGAACAGTTCCAAGTCGGCCGTCATATCACTGACAACATTTACATGGCGGTCACTCAGTGCCGTAAGACTTTGGTCATTGTGACTCGCCATCTTTTGGCCAGTAAATGGTGCAGGTATGAACTCCAGGTGAGGCACAGGCTATCTTAACACACTCATTATATATATATATTACGTCTTTAAATTAAAAAGCGATTGTACTAATCATATGTGAAGAAAACACTGTTAAGTCGAATGATTCAGGGAGTATATTAAAGGTATTTGTGGGGGAGGGGTAGACTGGAAGGTAACTGTACCAGCTATCAGTGTAGTATTTATATTTTGATTGTGTACTAATACTACACATTGCTGTAATAAGAAGGGTGCCAAAAGTTAATAATATTTAATTGGAGCACAGCCAGATAAGCTGAGTTTGTTGAAGTTGATTATTCTCTTAGTAATTTTTGCACCCTTTAAAATTTTGCGATTGAAGCAATCGACCCCATAGAATATTTCCACGCTGGACCTATGTAAAGGTTTCCAGGCTAGACCCATGTAAGGGAGGAAATGGAAAAGTGTGTTTGTTGGATGTAGAATCTAATTTCACTATCAGATACTCTCCACTCAAAACAACAAAACAAAATATATATTTTAAAAAGAAGAGAAAAAAAAAAGATTGACAAAATAAAAGCTCGATCTAACTAGATCTAGATATTCTTGTCAAAAGGGTTGGTCAACCTTTTTGACCAGAGGGCCACATGGCCATTGATTTTGTTATTTTTTTGGCCACATGATAACTTTGAAGCATTATACGACAAATTCGCTCTTAAAAATTGGCTTCGCACAATAAGCCGTGGAATAATTATTAAATTTGCGTGGATTATTTTAATTAGTTTGAGAATTGTACAGTGGTTGTTAACTGTTCAAATGCGTTTACATTTTACGAAAAGATGACTCCAGCCGTGGGAGGGCCTTGGGGAACGCATGAAACGTTTCAGGGGGTCGCAGGTTGTCCACCCTTATTTTAGACAGTAATTTCAAGGGAAGTTACAAGAATAAAATGAATTTTAGATGTAATAAAGACACTTCCGTTGATAAATGAATACATGAATATAAATTAAAAATAAATAAAAATAAATAAATAAATAGAAATAATAAAGAAACTTCCGTTGATAAATGAATAAATGAATATAAATTAAAAATAAATATAAATAAATACATAGAATAATAAAGAAACTTCCGTTGATAAATAAATAAATGAATATACATTAAAAATAAATAGAAATAAATAAATTGAGTAATAAAGAAACTTCCGTTGATAAATGAATAAATGAATATAAATTCTAAATAAATAGAAATAAGTAAATAGAAACATGTCTTTTAAAGAACGTTGCGGTTTTGTTAAATTAAGAATCCGCTAGACACAGCAGATGGCATTTTGTCAACATTTGACAGTGATTAGCGTAAAAAAAGAGAAATGTAAGGACTAACGTATAGTAGATACATGAAAGGGTTAGTGCCAACCTGACACATTTTAGTATTAGGGTAAAGTGGAGAAAAGTTAGCATGAGCGTAAAGAAGTTGAGAAATGTTGGCTCATAGTTGCAGAAACCAAAACTTAAATCAACTCCGATTGCGCCAGTCGTTATCTACGGTTTTTTGTTCCTATAAATGCGGTCATCATGGCCCCGTTCCTCGCCAACGTGGGCAGCGCCCCTTTAAACGTATTTACCAATCAAGGCTCTGAAACAATGAATACTGTTCAATCATGGATCTCACAAAAGAAGGGCGACAATTCCTAAATTGTAAAGACTTGGCCGCGTAAAAGGCACGGTTATGACCCATGGACATTGAGCTTAACTTTTGTAACATTCTTTTCTCGCCACAGATGGCCAGAGAAGAAGCGGTCAACACTGGACGCAGCGTGCTAGTTTTCCTTTTCTTGGACGATATCCCCACCAGTGAGATGAGCATGGAGGTGGTGTCCTATATAAAGACTAGCACGTACATCGCTTATCCCAAAGACGATCAACACAAAGAGACGTTTTGGGATAAGTTGGCAAACGATATCAGGGCGCCGTGACGGCAGGTGCTAGAGACATTTTGGGATAAGTTGGCACACGATATCAGGGCACCTCGACGGCTGGTGCTAAACCAACAACGAAATATAGAAACATTTTTACCAGGGAAATGTAAACAGGGTTACGCCACCGTAACAGTTGATGCAAAGTAACAACGGACTTTAGGGCACATTGTCAGCTGGGTGTAGGGAGGCCATACAGTTACCCCGGACTCTTTCCCTCGCTGTACTCCACGGGCTCACATACAAGCGGGGCAAGCATACAAGAGGGACACACATATAAGCGGAAGGTTGAGATTATTATTTGTATTTATATATTTCTGGTATTAATTTTTATCACGGCTATTCTGTATTGGGAAAAAGTAGCCGCTACCAGGGCACCTAGACGGTAGCTTAAGGAACCATTTTGAAGTTATATGTCAGGGACATAAGCCATAGTTACAGAACTATTGTGTAATAATATGATGTCAGGGACACAGGCCATGGTTACTCAACTCAATTATATGATGTTGGGGAACATAAGCCATGGTTACTGAGCCATTGTGTAGTTATATGATGTCAAGAAACATAAGCCATGGTTACTAAGCCATTGTATAGTTATATGTCAGGGCACATAGGCCATAATTGCTGAAATATTGTGTAGTTATATGTCAGGGCACATAGGCCATAGTTACTAAATTATTGTGTAATTATATGATGTCAGGGCACATAGGCCTTAGCTACTGAACTATTGTGTAGTTATATGTTAGGGCATATATGGCATAGTTACTAAAGTAGTGTTTACACTTATATGATGTCAGGGCACATAGGCCATAGTTACTGAACCATTGTGTAGTTATATGATGTTAGGGCATATATGGCATAGTTACTGAACTACTGAACAGTGTCCAGCCAGTCACCAGGTAGAACAGTGTCCCTAGAGGCACCAGCTAGGACACAGGTCGAATAGGCTATGACATACAAGTACGTGTAATCATAATAGATTCTTTTTAAATAGCATGAGAGATATAGGGACACACATTTTTATAGGACATCTTTTTTTTCAGGAGATTTTTACAGTTGTCTGCTGTGGTAGGATGGTTGTTTTGGTAAAATGGTTTGTGTGGTAGGCTGGTAGGTGTGGTAGGCTGGTAGGTGTGGTAGGCTGGTAGGTGTGGTAGGCTGGTAGGTGTGGTAGGCTGGTAGGGGTGGTAGGCTGGTAGGTGTGGTAGGCTGGTAGGTGTGGTAGGCTGGTAGGAGTGGTAGGCTGGTAGGTGTGGTAGGCTGGTAGGTGAGGTAGGCTGGTAGGAGTGGTAGGCTGGTAGGTGTGGTAGG